CCCCCCCCCCTTTTTGGGCATTTGTTGAAGAAATTCCACTTAATGAAATTATTTCATACATTTATCTACTGAGTGAAGAATGTGGCTATTCTTGCATTAGTCTTCCTGTTTGTATATGCTAGACTGAAGCCTCCTCATACTGGATGTGGTTTAGGTACATGTGAACATATAGAGACAAGGAATTTTCATCCATGGTCCTTAGGTGTAACCATCTACTTCATTAAATTCACTGAAAAAAATTGACATGCCATCAGATATTATGTTGGATGTATTGAGAGACTTTGTATCAGACTCCAATAAGAGAAGTCTTGTAAGGAATTAGGGAAATTTTGGTTATACTCAATTTTTGCTCAAGTGATGACTTTAGAACCCAACCTCCACTTAGATATGATTCTACTGTGCAGTAAAGTGAACAGGATTGGAATTGGGAGTAAGGCTGCATGATGGTTTTGAGTTCTTCAGTGTTAATAAATTTTATCAGAAGTTTTAGTTTTTAGGACAGATTTGTGGCAGTAATTTCATTTGAGATAATTGCTACATTATTAAGTGTATATTTATTAGAGTTAATCCATCAGGCATTGAAAGCAACTTTTCCCTCTCATTGTCCTGGTCTGTTTCATAGGTATTCCAATACTGTCTTGGGATTTCATTTGTGTTGGATGAGGGTGGAAAATGGGAGATGAGTGAATGGGCTAGGCTCCAGATGCTTTCCTTCTATTTTCCCACCAAAGCACTTTTTTTTTCTTGTGTCTATATCTTAAGATTTCTTTTAAGAAAAAGAGTTAATAGCAAACAATTGTTTGAAAATGATTGCTGTGTATGCACTGTGAAGACTTACATTATTTTTTAGGAAATATATTTTTCCCCTTCATACTTATCAGGTATATTGCTATTTTTTGTATAAAATTATATGGTGTATATATACACACATACACACACAGGTATATATGTGAAGGTCACGTGATTTTGTGATTTGGACATAAAGCTTTTGATTTCCATTACATTTTGGTACCATTTAATTTTTCAGGTTCATTTGTTATATAATATTTGTTTTTCCCTTTTCTGTAGGTTTTCAACAGACCTCACATCTCTCTTCTTATGAAATTATAACTCCTTGGAGATTAACTAGAGAACGAAGAGAAGCCCCTAGGCCCTTTTCAGAACAGGCAAGTTATCTCTTAAGAAATATGTATGTGTTAAAATTTTTTTTTTAAAGATAGGTGTGTTATTTTCAGCAGGGATTGGTTCAGTGAGTAGTGTTGGCCAGTGATTAGTGCACCACCATACATATGGCACCGATATCTGTTGGCCATTACTCTCCTTAAAGTGATATATTGATCCTTAGTAGTTTCTTATTTTTTTTAAGACAAATGGTCAACTTGAAACATAACAGAATGAAATAGTTAAATAAAATTCTATGACCAGTTTAGGATGCTGATTATATAGATTTTTTAAAAGTGTGTTTTAATTTATTTTTGAGAGAGAGCGTGAGCAGGGAGGGGCAAAGAGAGAGGGGGACAGAGGATCCCAAGTGGGTTCCATGCTGACAGCATGGGGCTCAAACTCATGAACTGAGATCATGACCTGAGCTGAAGTTGGACACTCAACCGACTGAGCCCCCCAGGTGCCCCTGATTATACAGATTTGTAACCCTTTTCTCACTGGTGATGGTTACAGTGGTCTTTTCATAATAATAAGAATGAACCTCTCTTAGTTTGTGATAGGAAGAATACTTCATACTGTATCTTCACAGGCTCTGGAGAATGGTAGTATGTTACATGTATGTATTTCATATTTGGGAATACTTACTCAAAAGTGTTTTATCTCCATATCAGAAGAAACATTACTGTGCTGTGAACGCTGTAACCCAATGCACAAAAATTGTTTTTTATACTATTTTCTCCTACTGTAAAGTTCAGAAAAAATGTTTGGATTTCAACTGATTTTGCCAATTCTTCAACTTTATAGAAGCATAATTTAACTGTACTGTAATTTAACAGTAATAGATAAGGAGGGTTAGAGTTTTGTTAATTATGTCTGAATTGCTGATATATTCATAAAAAGAGGGTAGCTCGAACATTGTGTAGGGGCTGGACCTCGTAAAAAGAACACTGGAGTTGAGAGTCAGGAGCTTTTTGGTTTAGTACCCTCCAAGTACTACCACTAGGGTAGATCATTCAACCCCGTTTCTTCTCTATAAGTAAGGAATAAATAACCCTACAATTTAGAATTCTTCCTTGTTTCTGTTTTGAGCTGGACATACTGCCATTGGATTATGTTTTGACTTAGAATAGAATTAATGTATACTTGCTTCATTATTTGTCTCCTCTTCTTCACTCTTTTTTTTTTTTTTTTTAATTTTTTTTCAACGTTTTTATTTTTATTTTTGGGACAGAGAGAGACAGAGCATGAACGGGGGAGGGGCAGAGAGAGAGGGAGACACAGAATCGGAAACAGGCTCCAGGCTCTGAGCCATCAGCCCAGAGCCCGACGCGGGGCTCGAACTCCCAGACCGCGAGATCGTGACCTGGCTGAAGTCGGACGCTTAACCGACTGCGCCACCCAGGCGCCCCTCCTCTTCTTCACTCTTTAGCACAGTGACTATGCACACAGATACTTGTGATCATAATAAATGTCATTCATGTGCCTGGATAAATATTTGGAGAAGTAGAAGTGCTGTTTGGGCACTAGGGTTATGGCAGTGAACGAAACAGACAAAGTCCATGTTCTTATGGAGCTTCCATTTTAGTGGGGTTGGGGGAGGAGACAAAAAACAAAGAACTAAGGTAGATTGATGTAGATTACTTAAGGTGGTAATGCGTGCTCTTGAGAAAATTATAGCAGCAGGGTGGATAACGAGTGCTGGGTGAGGGTAAGGGTGGGGTAAGAGGGTTTGTACTTTTTAAGCCTGGAAAAGCCTTACTGAGAAAGTGACCCTTGAGTAAAGCAGGGGAATGAGCAATCCAGGCAGATATTTGGGGAAGGAATATAGCATTATGAAACAATCCTCAGACTCTTCAGAATTTTTCTCAGATGACATGATGGTGGTGATTTTATATCATATGACTGACCAAGAGCAGAGAGGATAGAACAGCACATGCCAAAGCTATGACAATGGAAGGAGCTTAGTATTTTTTTTGTTGTTCGTTCTTTCTTTCTTTCTTTCTTTCTTTCTTTCTTTCTTTCTTTCTTTCATTTTATTTTTAGTTTTCATCCTTTTCTTATTGAAGTATAATTAACATACAGTTTTATATTAGTGCCAGGTATGCACTATTATGATCCAACAATTTTATACATTACTCAGTGCTCGCCATGTTAAGTGTAGTGACCATCTGTCACCAAACAATGTTATTACCATTTTACTGACTATATTTTCTATGCTGTACTTTTCATTTCCATTGTCTTTTTTGTCACCAGAAGTTTGTAACTAGGAGCTTGGTATTTTTGATGCCTAAGTTGAGATCGAAGTAGATCACAGGCTCGCATTCAGATGTGGAAGCAGAGTGCCAGATTCTGTAACTTGGTCTAGGCCTTCGAATTGAGATGTTGATGAGCCCTAGAAAAGGGGATCATGCTATTTCTTGGCAAAATGTTAACTTAGAGTCCAGAGACAGTGAGGAAAATAAGAGAACACTTCTAATAATATTATTTGTTGAGTCCCTCCATGACTTTCTCTTTTGTTAAAGAGTTAAGGCAAAGTGGAATCTCATGCTTCTAGCGGTCACATTAAATGCTTCCGACTAATGAAGTGGTGAGTTGCTGGGGAAGTTGTTTCAGAGTTGTTTGAGGTAGAGAAGAGGATCCCATGAACTTCAGGATGTGTAAGTGCAAGTTGTCTTATCTTAGTTCGTTGGCTCTGAGATGCTGTCCATTGTAAGGCACACTATTGTTTAATATACCACTAATTAAGAAAGAAACAGAGTCCTACCAGTTTGACTGCTCTGCCTTTGTATGATGCATCCGGAATTCAGAAGATGTTCATTTGAGGGGAAAAAAGTGTGATTTAGGATTGATGAAATGTGGTAAGCTGTGTGAAGATACAAAATCATAAAAGCGTACGAATGTCAACTTTTGGATAATTAGAACTAGAGATAATCTCTTGAAACTAAGAAATTCATTTCACTTAAACAAAAGGAAGAATTACTTTATACTGGAGGTAATACTTGGACAGACTTAATAGAAATAATCCCTGAAGTTACAGCTGAATTATAAATGAATTTAAGAAGAGTTTAGATGGACATGCAGATGATTTCCCACAATAAGTTATTAAAGGAAGGTAGGGGTGATCAGTGTGTGTGTGTGTGTGAGAGAGAGAGAGAGAGAGAGAGAGAATCCCAAGCACACTTCTGCTGCCAGCGCAGAGCCTGATGAGGGGCTCAATCCCACAAACTGCGAGATCATGGCCTGAGCCAAAACGAAGAGCTGGATGCTTAACCAACTGAGCCACCTAGGTGCCCCTGTCAGACTATATTTTTATTAAGAACAGTTACAAAGTTCTATAAAACAATTTCAGTCAGTGCTAAATTATTTTAATTCAGGATAATTTCCAGTATCTTATAAATACCTGTTTTTGAAAAGTAATTTATAAGATGGTGTTTTATTGTTTTTTTTCTCCTTCTCTGTGCATTTAGGTATCTTATATTATTCAAGCTGAAGGAAAAGAGCATATTATTCACTTGGAAAAGAACAAGTAAGAACTTTAATTTACTTTGGCTTTTTGGTAATTTGTTTAAAAATATTATATATTTTTAAGAAAGTATATTTTAAGTAGTATATTTAAATAGTATATTTAGTTAGATATTGTTTAGTAGATGGATAAAAAGGTGAGGATAACAAGAGTAGCAGTGTGGAAAAAGCCATACTATTTGGTGTTTCCATTGACATTAAGGCAAGGGAAAATAAATTTACAGAAAGCTGTATTTCAGAAGAAAAGTTTTTAATTGTGATAGGCCCAAGGAACAATTGAGCAGATGTAAAGAAGTCTTTAATAGTTAGTATCAGTCTGCTGGTGCTGCCATAACAAAATACCACAGACTTAAAAAAAGGAAGTTTATTTTCTCACAAGTTATGGAGACCAGAAGTCCAAGATCAAGGTGCTATCTGGGCTGGTGTCTGGCGAGGACTCTCCCCTTGAGTTACAGATGGCCATCTTCTCACGCTGTGTTCACTTACATGGCCTCCTTGGTGTGGGGGGTGAAGGGTGGGAAAGGAGCAAGCTCTCCTGTGTCTCTTCTAATAGGGACACTAATGTTGTCAGCTCAGGACCTCACCCTTTATGACCTTATTTAACCATGATTACTTCCTTCGTGCCCCATTTCCAAATACAACCACACTGGTGGTGAGGGTTTCAAAATATGAATGTTTCTGTGGTGTAGGGGAGGGACACAAACGTGTAGAACACAATAGTAGTCTGTCATCTACCCCCCTTTAAAAAAAAATTTTTTTTTTTAACATTTATTTATTATTGAGAGAGAGAGACAGAGCACGAGTGGGGGAGGGGCAGAGAGCGAGGGACACACAGAATCTGAAGCTGATTCCAGGCTCCGAGCTGTTAGCACAGAGCCTTGCAGGGTTCGAACTCACAAACCGTGAGATCATGACCTGAGCCGAAAGTTGGATGCCCAACCGATTGAGCCACCCAGGCGCCCCTCATCTCCCTGCTTTTTAAAAAAAAAAAATTTATTTATTTTTGAGAGAGAATGTGCAAGCGGGGGAGGGGCAGAGAGAGGGGGACAAAGGATCCAAAGCGGGTTCTTTGCTGACAGGCTGACAGCAGCAAGCCCAATGTGGGGCTCAAACTCACAAACCTCGAGATCATGACCTGAGCCAAAGTCAGACACTCAACCAACTGAGCCACCCAGCTGTTCCTCACATCCCCATTTTAATCCCTTCTCTGCATTTTGGCATGTTTTCTCCTAATCCCACCTTGGTAACCTGTGTTCTTTGGCTGTCTTTTTGAAATGCCAAGTTTTTAAGCATGCTGAGTCACCCAACTTTCCTGTGGCCTGTCTTCTCCCATCTTTCCCTTTTCTTACGCAGCAAAACTTCTAATATCTTTAGTGAGAGATCCTAGGAAAAAAAAAGCCACATGATAGACCCATTTACAATGAGGTATGAATGAAGGGATGCTAAGTGTTTCTGTCTAAGGAAGTGCTGCTCAAAGCCTAGTCCTGGAACCTCTCCACAGCCGCTGAGAGTTTGTCAGAGATGCCAGTTCACAGGCCTAACTCTAGAATGAACCAGAATTTTGGGAGGTGTCATAGCAATCTGTGTTTTAACAGGATTTCCTGATTTTTTTTTTGCATCCTCAAGTTTGAGTAAGACTTTACTAGAAGAGGATGTTCACCCAAAGGGTTTGAGTCTCCTTGGCAGAATTTCAGGCAATGTGACAGATATTTTCAGACAGACTTTCTGAAGTCTTCTACTGTATTTGATGGATGTTAACATTTATTGAACACTTTTTTTTGTGTGTGTGTGTGTTCCAGGCACTGTATTAGGTACTTTTAGGTATAGTATTTATTTAATTCTCACAAAACTCCTGAAGGATCCTGCTTGACTCCAATGTAGTGATGTCACTATGTAAAAAAAAAAAAAAATTTAATAGGTCTAAATATTTTCTTCTCATCCTTCCTGTAGATGTAAATCAATTAAAATTATGTCAATAAAATAATACAGTTGACCCTGGATCAACATGGGTTTGAACTGATGGGTCAACTTACACATATAATAAATACATGTACAATACTGTAGATGTATTTTTTCCTTATGATTTTCTTAACATTTTTTGGCTTACTTTATTGTAAGAATACAGTATATAATACATACAATGTGTAAAATATGTGTTAATTGACTGCCAGTAAGACTTCCAGTCAGTGATGGCTATCAGTAGTTAAGTTTTTGGGGAGTCAAAAATTATGTGTGGATTTTTGACTGTGTGGGGTGTCAGCGCCCTGAACTCCTGTGTTGTTCAAGGATCCACTGTAGTTCCTTATTTTTTGCATAGGTTTCATCTTACAAAACATTTTCACAACCTTGATCTCATTTATCATATTGTTAATAACAACTTAATTCTTGAGCAGTGTTTGTTGTCCTCATTTTATGCATAAGAATACTAAGGTTCAGGAAGGTTACTGCCTTGCTCAGTATCACAGTTTGTAATGGTTCAAGCTGGGGCACAAATCCAGGTCATTTGACTGGAAGTCTGGTGATCCAAATATATGTGCTATGTATACTCTACATTACTATGCTTCTTGATTTGGTGGCAAATGGTACTTTTCCAGGCATTTGTTTGAGTGTCTTTGAAAGGTGGTTATCAAAGCTATGATCACTAATGAAAAAAAGTTAGGGTAGATAGCCTAGAATAAAATGGCTCAGATACATTCTCTGTAATAATGGAGAAGTTATGACATTCAATAAAAGAGTGACTATATTGTAGCAAATGCTTATTTTTTCCTTCCATTGCTTCTAGAATAGTGGTCTTAACTCTTTGGGTCTCCCTTGAGAATTTGGTAAAAGCCATTGAACCCTTCTTGTGGAGGAGGGTACATAGTCACTTATATGGAGTATTTGGCAGGAACTGGGGGTTGTGGGAAAGAAGAGATCACATCTTTCTCTGCCTGTGAGGAGCAAATTTAAAAATTAAATACAAGGGTAAGTTAAATGAGAGGTTACATGTTACTTTTATTATTGATAAGGGCTGGGTTGGAGGATTTAGCTTAGAATGAAAGCCCAACGGACCTACTAATCCTGAACCCTAGTATTAGGCAGATTTAGTTATTTATGTGAATGCCACATAGTGGCAAGTTTGCTTCTGGAGAAGCATAGTAGAATTCTCTCTCACTGGGTAGGCAGTGACTTCCAAAGAGGAAGATAAGCAGAGCAAAGCAAACTAAGCAAACTATCTTTCGGATTCACCACTAGAGGGAGACGTGTGTGTGTGTGTGTGTGTGTGTGTGTGTGTGTGTGTGTGTGTGTGCGCGCGTGTTGGGGAGAGAGAAGGGGAGACAGTGCAGTGATGAACGAATCAAAAGGACTGAAGACTCCACAGGCTACTCCCAAGTTTATTCAAGTTGCCTTTAATAAAGGTAAATGATACAGTGCATCAGGACAGAGAAAGTGCAGAGAATCAAGGGGTTTGAAAACTTTATGCAAAGCCCCTCAGGGTCCTTTCTCAGTTGCACAGATGTGCTTTGTCTTCAGTTTAACAAACCTCTGAGATAGTGTGTAGCATCTATTTTCATGGGAGCCCAGGCACAGGTTTACACAAGGGATCTTTTATACTACTCTGGTCATGTAGCCCAAATCAGGCTCTGTAGCTCATTACTCTGCATGCAAACCATCAATCTCTCCGTCTCTAAACAGTACAGGGAAGCTGGTCCCGGCTGCCTCCAGGGGGAGTTTAGAACGTTAAATGGCGTATTCTAAATCACCAGCGAGCACATTGCCTCCCTGACTTGTCCATAATCCCTGGAGATAAGCGTAGAGCTGCTCCAGTTCTGCTGCAAATGACAGATTCTTTGCTTGACCAAACTTCAGTCAGTCTGCTGACCTTCTTTCTAGGTGTATCAGTGCACTTTCTTGTAAAATCCAGTTTTGGCAAGAACCCTGCTAGGTCAGTTTGACAAGAACCACCACCCCCCTTGCCCTTGATCACTGTGGACATGTAACCAGGTTCCTCATCCTTTACCATCCCCAGGTGAGGTCTGATCACCCTGGCTTGTCTTAAGCAAGAATCTCTTAGGTTGTGTTAGCTAGAACCCCCCTCACCCCTGAAGTTTCCTCTTAGTAATTTTCTATCCATTGACCCCTCTACCCTGCCCCTTGGCTATAAATTCCCACTTGTCCATGCTGTATTTGGAGTTAATTCTTATCTCTTTCCTCCACTGTGAAATCCCATTGCAGTAGTCCTTACACTCAGTGCAATGGACTTGAATAAAGTCTGCCTTACTGATGTGGTTTGAAATGGGGTTTGGGAGCCAATGGCTGAGAAAGAATTCTTGAGATTTTTTTGGTGCGAAAAGATGTTTTCAGTATAGCACAGGAACAGGGCCTGTGGGCAGAAAGAGCTGCGTTATATGTGTGAGGAGTGACTGATTATATAAGATTTTGTATGTTCTGGAGGGGATGGTAATTTTAGCATCCCGGAAATTGAGTCTATAGGTTTCTGAAAGTCTGGCTATTGATAAGATTGCTTTTTTCTTGTAAATCATTAAGACAGTTGCAAACTGATACGGATTTATGTTCTGCATGACTGTGATCTCTATCAGTTGGCCATTTGTTTTTCCCCTTCCTCTGTTCTTGGGCAGCCAGGAGTGCCTGAGGAATGTCACACATATCCACATGGTGGGGGGTTACAGGGTGTTGGCTTATGCTTTGCCCTCACCTTGCCTTCTGCTCTCTCATCATTACCATCTTTAACAGCGTCATTGAGGGGCACCTGGGTGGCTCAATTGGCTAAGCATTCGACTCTTGGTTTCGGCTCAGGTCATGATCTGGTGATTAGTGAGTCTGAATCCTGCATTGGGCTCCATACTGACAGCGAGGAGTTTGCTTGGGATTCTCTGTCTCCTCTCTCTGCCCCTCCTCCACTTATGCAAGAGTGCACACATGTGCGTGCTTACTCTCTCTTTCAAAATTAAACTTTTTAAAAAAAGTGTCATTGATATTTTTTTTTCTTTGGCAGTCATGGTG